CTTATAAGCTGCAGGAATGGAAAATTAGGCTGCCTGTGGTGAAGAGGGCTGTTGGCTCTGCACCGAAACCTGGCTGCTGTCAGAGCAGTAAGGGGGACTGCAGAGAGCAACAGAAAATAATGTGGCTAAGACCAGAAGGATTTAGAAGGTCCCATGAATTTATGCAGGAGAGGTGTACGTGGAGTAGCTGGTGGTACCTGAGCAGTGGGTATGCCAAGGAGACTGGGGGGGCTCCTGCCTGAAGGGGTTGGAGGCAGAGAAGGAGAAGGGGATTATAGAGAATCCAGGTTTTCCATGGGAGTTGTGATGCAGAGAGGGAGCATGGCTGCGGCAGGAGACAGGGCAAGGCAATGTTTGAAGGGAGGGATGGAAAAGGTGTCAAGGAGGCAGGAACTGCAAGACATGGCCAGGGCTGGCAATGGGCTTTCTCCTGCTAAGGAACAGTGGCAAAAGGTCCTCCCCGAGCAGCTGGTGTGGCATGAATTTGCACCTTGTAGGGAGAGTATTGGACTCACAATAATCAAACGTGCTTTGGATAGGCAGCTTCCTCTAGAACAGTACACAGCAGAAGGCAGGAAAAAAGAAAAAAGTCTTTGCTAGCAAGCTCCAGTATCAAACCAGCTCCTGTCAGCCTTGTCGAGAGCTGCAGGGCCATCACCAGCTCGTGTGACATTTGAGCTGCTTCCTAAAGCACTAAACCACAGGGTCCTTGTGATGAGGTGAGATGCTCGCTTTTTACTAAAATAAGGAAATTTCTGGCTCTTGCAGTGGAAGAGGTACGATTAGTGATGTAACCGTAAGGTCTTGAGTGTGCTAAAATCAGAAGTCAGAAGGTTTTTTTTTTTTTTTTAATATTATATACGTGCGCATACATATATACTAGATAATATCTGGTGTGCTGTGCAAATCACACGATTTCCAGTCATTCTTGTGATTTTGTGTGTACCCAGTTCATGATTTCCAAGCACTAGGGGCTGGCAGTATGTGCTCTAACAAGCTTCCTTTGCAGACAGCTCCTGAATCTCCTAAGTTAACTGTCCTGAGAATGTTTCCATCTTTATTTTTTCTAAAACAGGGAAGAGGTAACAGACTGTTTCTATGCATATCTTCACTAATGGGTACTTGTTCCGTGACCTGATCTTTCCTTAATATTTTAAAGTATTTTACTTTGGATACAGGTATCAGTGTGTAGATTTGCTAGATGGCAATTTTCAGGATCATTTTTTCCCTTAAAACGGTGGTGCCATGTTTGCCATTCTTTCCTTTACCATATCCCCAGGTCCTTACAGCTTTTCAGACCTGGTTGTGTGTGGTCCAATAAATCCATCCCTAGCTCGCTTAATGCCTTCGGATGTGTTATCTAGATAGGTTGTCTGGCACTGTGACTGCTCAGCTGTTCCAACTGTTGCCTTGCCTACACCTCATTAAAGAATTCATTTATTTTTAAACAAGGTTGTCGTCATCTCAGAATGTTGAAACTTTTCTTTATTTTTCCTGTCAGAGTAATTGATGAATAGGATTTATTTTTGTAGAGTTGTGTGATCTCTTACAGTATCATTTTCCTCATCTGTAGATAGATTGTGGTGTTCTTTTTGGTTTTACCATACAACATTTTCACACTAAGATCGCCCATTGCTTATGAGACATTATTAAAAGTACATAATACTAGCTTAATGGTAGAAATTATTCTTTCATGCAATTGTTTCTTTTTGCAAGATCCATAAATTCTTGGAAGTTACAAAAGTTTTGCTGTATTTCAACTCTCAGTTAAGGAGCCTTATACAGGAACCTCAGGGTGCAGTTTTCTGGGTTGTATTAACAGGGATTTCAAATGAGATGATCATGCTGACTTCTCAATCTTTCTCCTAGTGTTATTTTACCAGGATGGATTTTGAAAAGCCTTTTTGCTTTGTTCTGGTGTGTCGTGTATTGGGTCTTTGCCTTTCAGCCCCACCAGTGAGCACAGTGATTTCCTTTGACTCCAGCCAGTTTAACCTCCGGATCTCATGGCAGATCCCCGTTTGACTGTTCTCACCTAAACTTCAATTGATAAGGGTAATTCTGGCACGTGGAAGATTTCAGAATTTGGAAATCTGCTTTTGTTCTGATTTGGAGCATGCTCCGGGCCTGTCTGCCCAGTGGCGAGCCCTGCAAGGCAGGCTCCCTGGCTTCTCGAGAGCTGCCAGGCAGCTTTACTGCAGTGTTGTGGAAATTGAATTGCTTTTACGGACTGTTTGGATTTCAACAAATTGACTTTCACTTATGGAAAATGCCATGTTGGAGGATTTTCAGCCTATTCTATTAATATTGCAAGGGAAAATATAAACCAAAACAAAAGAAAACATTTTAACTGTCTGACGAGAGAAAGCTTCATGCGAGCATTTGATTTCCTGACAGCATTTCTGCACAGACTTTCCTTGAAATACACACACACCAGCAGAAAATCTGGCCAACGGACTTTTCATGGGCTGTTGTGAAAATAATATTAAATGACTCAAAATTGGAGAAGCAAAATTGATTTAGCCTAGTCTGACTCCTTGCTACATTTTTACTCCGCCTCTGTGACCTTAAACTGTGTTCGACTTCCTAGAGAATTAATGCTTGACTGAGGAAAAATTGAGCGAATACCTCAGTACTTGGTGTGTTTACAGCATACCTTAATATAATGTCTAGCTCTTTGTTAGGCGAACGATGAATTGTTTGGAGAACGGGTTATTAATAACTTTGCATTTGGCTTTGCCCTGCTGTTGACCAAGACAGAGATTCAGAGAGAGCAGGCTGTAACAAAACATCAGGCTGGCAGGATTCCGCTAATGAAGGTACAGATGGGGCAGCAGAGGGGTGGGGGCAAGACCTGAAAGGTATGATACTCTTTTGGAGAACCAGGGCTGATCCTGGAGGACAAAAGCCCTTTCAGAGGCACGTGGAGCAGACGTTGCTCATTCCCAGGTGGGTTATGAGGAAAGATGTGCAGAGTGTAAGAGGACTCTGGGTTGCCCCATGTCGTAATGTGGTGGCTAGCCAGCAGCACTCTGATTTTCTGAGCTACCTGGGGACAGCAGCTGTGTTATGGGTCATTGGGAGTCAGCTGAGTGAGATCAACAGGAGAGAGAGTCCTGCTGGCAGTAAACAGGGGCAGAGTGCTGGGTGGGGGACTCAGAGGCTGTGCTGTGCTGTAAGGGGTTGCAAGCATGTGCAATGGTTTCCATTGCATGGTGTGGTGGTTGCTAGCAATTGTAGTGTTGTTTGCATGGTGCCCAAAGGATGCTAGATGCAACAAGTGCAACATCCTGGAGACCTCAGGGGGAACCTGCTGGTGAGAGAGAAGTGCTGAGGGAGGGAGAGAGGGAAAGAGAAACAAGCCAGAAGCCACAAAAATGACGTATGAAAAAAAATTGTTTTTATTTCTCATGTGCACAAAAAGAGAAAAGAAAAGAGTCAAACAGAACTGAAGCGATGAGGAAAAGCCAAGAGTGGCTGCAGCAGCCTAGAATGGAAATGACCCTGCACCTGGCAATGGCCCCCTCCCCTCCCTGGGCTCATGTCTAGCTCAACCTAGAGAGCATCAACAGAGCTGCTTACGGCTGGATTTGCTTTCAGTTCAGTAATTGGTGTTGTTTGGTCCCTCCTTCCTGCTTTGCAAGTTTGCCACCGTTCTGGACCCAGCCAAGGAGCACACTGTGGTATTTGTGGGGTCCCCTAGAAGGCCTTGTGCTCAGACCCCAGGGGGCAGCTATCATTCTCACTTATTTTCCCAGAAGACTGCTTTTCTTTAGGAAGAAAGGGTTATTTTTTCCAACAGTTCTGCAAACCAGAATTTCCTTTAGGAAAATGTTTATGTGCATATATACTATTATACTCAAGAGGAGAAATAGGCACAGGGTTTTCTGTTTTCCTTTTGTTGTTTGAACTCCTCACATTCACGTTGTGATTACTTCTGATGCCTTGTTCTGAATGTGACTTGTCACTACGGACAGGTCAGAAAGCATGCAGACGGGGCCTGTTCCCATGCGGCAGGGCTGGTTGCCACTTACCCACTGCCCCACTCAAAAAAGTATCTGCTTTAATGGATCTGCCCTGTGCAGCCCTCCCCGCTTCTTGTCCCAAGTCCCGTTGGGCCCAAAGGACATGGGAGCTTCAGGGAATGGGACTCAGAAGTGCTGCCCAGTTTTAAATGCTGTGGTCCCTGTTCCTCCCAGCAAAGTGTGGCATTTGAGAACTCATGAGATTCCTCCCCTTCAAAAAAAAAAAAAAACAAACTGTGACAGGAGAAAATGTAGTCACACAACATTTCTGATTGGTCCATTAGATAAAGCAAACATAGCAGAAGAGCAAAGAATGGGAAGAAAAGAAAGAAGTGCAAGGAAAGATAAAGAAGAAGAATAAAGAAATGAAGAATTATTTGTGAGAAAAATGAAAAGAGAGAAATGTAATGGAAACGTTCATTATTATTCAGAATAATACTTAACACTTCGATACAGTTTTCTTTCCAGGATCTCAAAGCACTGAGCCGGTGCTAATTAATTCAACTGCGCAATACCCCTGTGGACTAGGAACTGTTGTTATCCCCATTTTACAGAAGATTGGAATCGAGGCATAGGGGAGAAATTGGACTTGACAAAGGTTCTCTAGAGCCAGGTGGAGAATTGGGGAGTTTGAGCTTGCAGATACCTGCTCTCATACTGGTAATACTGCTCCCCCTCTGGATGGAAAAGTGCACTGGGAATGAAGAAGAATAAAAGAGAAGGATAGAGTGGATTGGAAAGAAGGTATGAGAAAGAGATGGAAGAAAGGGAAGAGACAGCAGAATGAGGGAGAGAGATGTGAGTCATAGACTTCACTGGATTTTGCATAGCAATTTTTTCCCTCCAATTCTTTTTCTTCTCATTTTTTTTTCCTGTAAAACTTTTTAAAGAACAATGAAAAAAATCCATTTATAATGAAGCAACTGTTGGCCGGTTGGGGAAGGGGTCCTTCCAAGGTTTGGCTGTTCCCTCAGGTTCTGGATTTGTGCTGTGCTTTATTGAACACATTGTTTTGTTTTCAGTGAGCACAACAAGACTTGCACAGTACAGACAGCATGTTCCTTATCTACAGGATGAGACGAGGCTGTTTTAATAACTACCATGATGAAGATGGAGATGAACTTATATACAAGAGGAATTGCCTTCACATTACACACATTATCTTCCTACAAAGCAGCAATTGTTTTTGCAAATAACATAATATTAAATAATTGGTAGAATTTTTGCGTTTCCTGCATAGTCCAGTCTAATGGAATCTATATGAATATTGATGGTTTTCTTCTGCATAATATCACCACATAAATCCCTGTGTCAGCTACTAGACTTTAGCTATAATACTGCTTTACAATGCATCCACCGACTGTAAATCAAAACAACCAACACAAGAAACTCTTTGGCAAATGTAATTCAGTACATTCGCGTGGGGGTCTACAGATGGTGGTGGAAGAGGATTAGACTGCCCAGTCCTTTGCATAATTCTGCTTTCCTTTTAATTTTCCTGATCAAACTACTTGTTGTACTTATGGTCTTTCCAGACCAACCCAATGCCTGGTGGAAGTCCCCTTTTATCGGTGGAGTTACACCAACAATGGATTTGTCCCTCCGAGGGTCAAATCAAGCCAGCCATGAGTGAGCCAACCAAATCCAGCTTTTGTATCCTATCTCGTGTCTCAAGTTTAGTGAAACACCTTTATGAAAATGAGCGTTTCTGGGCTGCTAGCTTCTCTTGAGGTGGCCCCTGGGCTGCAGGTTGCCAAGCGTGACGTGTCACAATCTCCTTTTCATGAGCCTCTTCAGGAGGTTGTAGTTGCCAGTACTAGGATTTACTGCCTCTGGCCCTGAGTGAGACTGGGTGGTGCGCAAGTAGAGCAAAGGCTGTACTGAGAGACTAACAGGGAGACTTTGCTAACAGGGTCCAGCATCTGTCTGGTGTCAATGGAGGAAAACAGAAGGAGTGGTAAAGGTAAATTTTTAGACATTATTCAGAATTTGCTTCTCATGTAGAATAAAATGAGATAATGGGCCAAATTCTGGTCTCAGTGACAGTGAAACAACTCTGCAATTCGCAGCAGGTTACTCAGAGGTAAGACGTGCAAAATAACACTTTAAATAGATCAGGAGTAACCTCTTTGACTTTATTCTGTACAGGAACAGATTTTAGCTCTATATCTTCTATGTAAACATCCCCCCACCCCCAATACCCTTTTAATTTGGGCATCCCATTAAAGAAGACACAGACCTATAATCAGCTAGAGCCATGCAAGGGCTAAACGTGTTAGGTGAAAGGGGCCTTTGGGATCAACACAGCTGTTTACTGATGATGGATTTCATACATACAAGTTAAACTTGGAGACAGAATACCGAGTCCACAACCACATCTCCTCAGCGGCTGGGATTTTATGGATTTTATGGATTTTATACATAATGTTGGCTGTACAGACTGCACCACTGTTCACTTTCATGCCCTTCGGGGGTTTGATTCTCAATCCTGTCTTTGTCCATGGACAGTAGCCCACTAGTTTTATCTGAAACCTCTCTAAAACAACAAGGATCTGCTTTGGCAGACTTGATGCCCTGGGGACAGGCTATAGCTGCCTTCATGTTTTCTTTGAGTGTTTTTTAGGAAGTGTCAGTGCAAGGAACAGTTTATGAGTTTGCTGACAATACAGGAGTAATAAGCATTTCTATTGACAGTTAGCCTTTTGCAGAACAGTGTTTGCCAGTCACTTGGGAACCAAAACGAGCAGAGAATCCCTAGAGAATCATCAGGTGAGCATTTGGGATAAGGGGTAAATATTAGGGTGCACAATATGGGGCTGAATATGAAAAGATGAGGCTGCATGTTGGGACTGGCTGGAAGGGTGTGGGCATATGGACTTGGATGGAGGCCTATAAATTATCAGGTGTGTGAGCATGTGGACTGGAAATTGACGAGGGCCCTTATAGCAAGGCAGATAGGAAATTAGGTGGTGGGCACAGATAACGAGGCTGTCATCACCATGCTATAGGGATCTGGAGAATGGGTGTTGGGCAGGTGTAAAACTGCGTAAATCGGGATGTGGGTGAGCTGAAATAGTCATGAATACAGGGATTAAGGTAAAAGGAGAGGAGCCTAAGGGCTAGGGAACCAAGCAATAATCCCAGCCAATCCTGAATTTGTCCATCTCAGTCTCAGCTGTCCAGAGGGCAATCAGATGGGCCCACGTGAAGCCCCACACTTTCCTTTCCACCACAAAGCGCAGATAGAGCGCAGCTGGGCTTGTTTTCTTTGTTTGCCAACCAGTGACATGGAAAACGTTTGTTGACTCAGAGTGCTTTTTTGTCGACTGATGTGTTTGGTAACTTTGTCAGATGTGACTTGTCCACACTGCTCCCCAGAGACAGGATTTGGGGAAGGGGGAGGAGGAGGAGGCGACGGGGGTGGAGCTGGCATCCAATCCTCTCCAATACCACCATCCCATTGTAGTGCAAAACAGAAAGGAAACAAAACCCGAGAGTGAAAGAGGAGCATCAAGCGTCAGAGGAACTGGTCTGCCATTCAGGTGGTGGGGAGGGATGGGACTTGGAGTTTTATTTTTGTAGGGTTTTTTAATTATTATTTTGTGGTTTTTTTTTTTGTTTTTTTTTTTTTCCCTTGGTTTTGTTTGCTTGGGTTTTTTAGAAAATTGGGGATTTGTTCTTTTTTTTTTTTTTTCCTTTTTACAGACCTTCATGACAAAGCATAAAAACACAGTTATATTTATATATCTATTTATATATTTCTTCATTTCGTCGGTCGGTTTGTAAATGTTGCTCCATCCTCCTGTCTGAGCTGATTGTGTGTCACAGAAATCGTGGGCGTATGTGGGAGGCTCGCCCCCAGCCTGGCCTGCAAAGTCACCGCGTGGGCTGTGGCCGGCGGCAGCGAAGCCATGCTGAAGAGTGGGGATGAAGTGCACAGAGAACCCCTCGCGGGGGACAGATAAGTCACTTGGTCCTTTCCTCGGCTGCCAGACGGGCCAGGTCTCTGCGCTGCCATCTCTGCTCTAGCCAGGCCGTTCCCTCCATCCTGGGGAGCGGGGCGCTCATCACAGGTTATGCGTTTCGAAGAGTCCACCACAGAAGAGCGTATCTTTGGGGAACAGTGTTTAGTCAGTGGCTGTGTCCCCTGCTTCCCCCTGCCCTTACTGCTCCCGGGAGGTGGGGGTTCCGCGAGGTGATGGTTGCCAGCTGCAGTGCTGCCCGCTTCCCCTCGAGTCTTGGGAGCGCCGGAGAGGAGCACGCGTGGCCCGGCCTCGCCGGGGGCTCCTTCGGGAGGCGGCGGGGCCCGTGGCTCCAGCCGGTGTGGCGGGGCATGGGGGGACGCAGGGGAGGACGGGGTGCTCAGTCAGGTGTTGGGGCGCTCGGCTTGGCGGCGGAGAGGGAGGGCGCGGGCTGCGGGAGGCACGGAGAGGTCCTCTTCGCCTTCCCAGGGGCGGCGGGGTGGGTCAGACAGGTACAATGTGGAGGCCTAAGCTGTCGCCCTGCAGTTTCATGTGGTTTCCATGGTAACTAGTGGCGGTCATAGGCAGCGGCAGCAGTGGGAGGTGCGGAGCCCCGGGATGTGGCACTATAATAATAAGGGGAACCTGAAAGTTAACACAGGAGAAGAATGGACTGGTTGAAAGGACAAACAGTGAAAAAAAAATAAATAAAAACAATCAAAGGAAGAAAAAGAAACGAAGGAGAACTAAAAAAAAAAAAAAAAAAAAAAAAAAAGAAGAAGAAAGGAAAAAGAAAAGGAAACAAAGAAAAGGAAGGGAAGCAAAAGAAGGAACCTGGGGACTCAGCCGTTGCTGAGGTTAGTGGAAGGCAGTCGGTGCAGGCCAGCCAAGGGCCACGTCTCAGAGAAGAGAGGTTACAGTGGCCTCTGGGTCTGAAGCCCCTCTGTGGGGAGGTCCTCTTGCTCCTTCAGACCACCAGTGAGGAGCTGAGAGGGAAGCATGTGAGCACTGAGTGGAAATATCCCACACCTGATCACAGAAATTGCCCACACCCGATCGAGGCCACCAGGGAGTTGCCAGGGCTGCGTGTTCTAACCATATCTGATCAAGTACAGTGGGTTGCTCTTAAAACAGGAAGGGAAGAAGGAAACAGAATTGCATCATTCATTGCTTGGGATTTTGGTCACATTTGGAATGAAAGCTCTCTAGATGGTTATTGAATGTGTGTTAAATAGTGATTGATTATTAAGATCACATTTACTGAGGTTTAACAACACTGGAATAAAATGTGCATCTATTACCTAGTTGTTAAACCTCAGTAAATATGTAGTTAATAATCACAGCTGATTTATTTTACTTATAATAAATATCTTCCTGTTCTCTTGCAAAGAGGTGTTGTGTTAGAAGATGGAGTCTTATGGAAGTTTTTTCCCCTCAGAAAAAAAAACTGACTTTTTTCTGGGTGTATTAGTCGCTGGAGATGGATATATTCCTACAAGGAAACTCTACTGGCAATTGCAAACACATTGCTGCAAGTTGTCTCCCATTCCCAACATTGCTCCAACTGGTCCTATAAGAAGAACTTCCATTGGATTTCCAGGTGCCCAGGAACTGACTCTGGAGTTAGCTTGGGAGAGGAGTAAAACCTCATGTGGGTTTTTGAACAGATCTTGAATGGATGCTGATTGCAGACGGTGAGAGTAGCAGAACTTGAAGCTAGCTTCTGGTTTGATTTGGAATAAACTGTGGATGCAGCCCATGGAGAAGACAGAAGCGAGCTGGAATTCTGAACCATCTCTTGAAAGAGGAATTGGCTTCAGGACAGTCACAAAATACATGAGTGCTATATATACCCATCTAGATACTGGACTGGAGAGTGAGGAAGACAGCCCTTCATCTGGCCAGATACCTGAAAGCCCTCTTCAGAAACAAACAAACAAAGAGAAGAAAACAAAGAGACAAACAGAAGGAGCGCGAAGCTGGGGGTGTGCGGTGGGAAAGAGGTACTCACTTAGTAATGCAGGGTTGCTGAATCGCCAGGCCTCATTGTAGGTTGTATACTGAGGGTGGCTGTAGGGGTTCCCTGAGAACTCGCTCCCTGAAAGAAATCAAAGAAGTCATGAAATGCAGTTAACGATGAAGATTTATGCGTGCTGTTCCATCAAGCCCGTGTTTGTGTTGAGTCCATATGCCATCAGCAAAACTAGGGTATGTAGCTCCCGTGCCCACCTGGTACTGTGCCCTTCAGGATGCTGTAGTGTTTGTGCACTGAATGTGCAATGTGCTTATCCATACAATCAACAATTGTGAGATTGGCCTCTTCATTTATGAGACCACATTTATGATCAGTCAGTGAGTTACAGAGAAAAATTGTTGTATTCCAGTTCCAGAAGAGAATTTTCTCAGGTGCTATCTTGAATCTAGAAGACAAACTGGGCTATGGATCATTCTCGACATTTGACAATATTGGCCCAAACCAAAATACTTGGAAACTTTGTAATCTAATAAGACTCTGAACCAAAATTTGAACGTGGTAGAGTCTTCTTAAATATTCAGTTTTATTGTGCAGAAGGAGCTGGGTCTTGTTTTATAGATGTCTGTGCAGGCCTGAGGGAATTATATTCAGGGACTGAGGAGGTATGGTGTTGCATTCAAAATAAGTAAATCTCCCCAAACTTAAAACAAACAACCAAACAAGCATGATTTTGTTAAGTGAAAACATGCCATCATCTGATCATAACCTCGGTGTAATCCAGTACTAACAGGCTGGGAGCATTGGGTCCCATCTGAAAGGTGTTATGCACTCAAAAGGCAGTGAGTGAACAGCATGACTTAGCTTCTGGTCTGCTCTGAGGAGGGGGTGGAGAGCATAGAAGTGCACGTGGGGTTCCTACTAGATGCTGTGGAACAGGAAAAGAAGGCAGTGCAAGATGCGCTGGATGCCTGTGATACAATTACCGAAGAAATGTCAATTAATTATACTGTAATCTCTGCAAATCTTCCCTCACAGGAGAGTTAAAACCCAAAATAGGTTCTCAGATGGTGGAAGTGAAGTCTGTTCAAGTCAGTGGATTTGCACTGATTTAAGCTCGGGAGGATCTGTCCAGCTGGGTCCTTTTAAGACACTCAGAATAATAACCAAAGTAGTCAGTACGGAAATGTGTATGTATCAAAACAATTACCATCCAAAGCTCTTTTAGTCACAGTACTTTTTAGTTTCAGCATAAAAACTCTTACTGTGCGATGGACCTTGCTCAACATTGATTTAATGATAATAACTCAGCATGTTTCTATACCCAGAAACATCCTGTACCGAAAATCCCGACAACTAGTGGGGAAGGAGTAGGTGAAGCCTACTATGGTGGCCAAGATCTGTGGGATTAGGGTAGAAAGGCAGAAAGTGGTGCACAGTCCAGGTTTACGCCTATTGAAGCTACTTATCTGTGGGGTATACTAGGATGAATTTGGCCCCTGAAGAAGGAAAAGACAACCCAGATGAGAATTACTGCTCTTAAATGCCTCAAATGGAGATCACTTCTCTGCGTTGAGAGAAGAAGTTCTGATGTTTCAAGGTTTCTCTCTCACCCTCCTCTGAGTTTGTCACCCTAAACTGTTTATAGCGTTCCTAAAGCACGGGTTAAGTAGAGGAGAAAGAGCCCCAGCTATGGAGAGCTGGGGAGGAGGGAGGGCAGCCACTGGAAACAGTGTTTATTGACGAGGAGTGAAAGCATGCATGCAGCAGGATAATGAGCTTTTGAGCTCAACTGTGACCAAGAGGAACTGAGCTATCGCCTTCCCCGATCACTAATGAAACAAGTGTAATTTCCTCATCAACATTGGATTCTGTTTAACGACTCCCTGCCGTTGCCATCACCAGCCCTCTGCAGGCTCTACGCTGCTCTGTGTAAACTGTAGTTCCTTTCAGAGGATGCTCACTTCTCCAAAACAGTTTGCAGAAAGTTGATGGCCTTTCTGGGAAAGTGGAAGAAGCGAGCCAGGGATCAAAGGTGCTCTGTTACCATTGCAGGAAGCATTTCACAAATGCACAGATTAAGCACAGCGCAATTCCTGACTCATCCTTGACTAACCCCAGTTTTTTTAGGTGTGCATGCAGGGACTGCTGGCCTTCATCCATGTCCACAGCTGGTGATCTGAAGTTACGGGCAAATGCAAATTCAGGACGTGTATCTTAGTACATCATCCACATAAACCTCAGAGATATTTGCATGCATGACCGAGCGTGTTGCATGGATGTACTGCTACTGGAGACAAGCTCTTCCCTAGACTATACAATGAGAAGTCCAGTGAAAGGTTGTCACGGACAGAACAGAGAAACTTTGGTTAGTGCTGGTCAAACAGTCTTCTCAGAAACAGCTCTCTGCTGGAAAATGCTGTCTCATCGAAATGGAAATGTTTTGCATTAGCTTGTCAGCTTCAGCGGAGTTTTGGAAGGAAAAGTTCCAAAATGATTGCAAATTGAAACAAAGTATTATGTTTCAACTTTCTTGTTTTGTTTCATTTTGCCTTTCTCATCTCATTTAATTTCCTTTCAACTCTTTTATTATTTTAATATGTCTTGACATCTAGAACATGTTGATGTTATTGAAATGTTTCATCCTGATGTTTGCAAATTGAACAGTTTCAAGATTCTGACTCCTCATCCCAATGAAAGATAAAAACAAATGTCAGAAAGTCAGAATTTTGCATGCGTTAGAAATTCTGCTTTCCAATGAGCTCTGCTTTTAGCTCTGAACCTTTATTTAAGGAGGATAGAGCCTCTTTCTCGTATTCTCTCACATCTGGACAGTGCTGTTTCCCTGTCACTGTGTTTCTTACAGATGCTCCCTGAGTGGACACCTTGCTTGCTGTGTGTTTCTAATACCCCTAAAGCACTGGCTCCTGGTCTTTTTGGCACAGGGGCAGTGACAAACCACTGGTGACGTGCTGCTTTGTTTTTCCTTTTCAACCTGGACTCTTAGCAGTGGTTGCCAGCAAGCACAGAGGATCAATCTCAGGAGGCCTATATTGTGTGCAATCTGTGCTCTGGGAACCTTTACTAACAGTATTTCTTGGTATCTGTATTTAAGCCTTGGCATGTTTAGTCTTCTAATACAGAAACTATGAGGCATGAAGTGAGCCTAGCAGGTGGCAGGTCCAGGACCAGTAAAGGAGGTTGTTTTCACGCAATATGTAGTTAAGGTACAGAAAACTTCTTGTCATAGGTTGCTGCAGATGTTAAAGGCTTGTATGGGTTCAAGAGACGCTGCTTAAGCATGTGAAGGGGAATTCTATTGCGGGTGCTTAATATTAAATAGAAAGATACTATCTCTGCCTTAGGAAGTCTCTGAGCTGCAACTTGTTAGAGGTACAGAGATCTCTCAAGGAAGTGCTGATACCTGCTTTACTCTTACACCCTTCCCAGGCAATCTGTTTCGACCCCTGACAGAGAGCAGTGGCTGGAGAGACCTGCAGTGTGACCCATTAAAGCCAGTCTTATGTTCCTTCCCAGGAAGCCTCTTTATCTCCAGCTCGTTGGCATTGGTCACATAAGAAGACAAGAACAGAAGGGCTGCCAGGCTGGGTCTGACCAGTGGGGTCTGGCTGACGCAGCCGGTACCCAGTGTGATGTAGATGCTGTAACTACTACAGGGTGCCTGAGTATGCCACAGGAAAAGCTTCTGTAACTGAATGTTGACATCAGATCTAATGTAAAGATGTCTTTTTGACTTGAATAATCTCTTTGGAGTACAACTCGACTTCATTCTTCATCATCCTGTATTCCCCCACCCCCTTTTTTTTCAGTATCTGCGTGTTTTGGGGGATACTGCTGTCTTATGGATAAGTAGCCTCTGCATCAAATCTCCTATTCTTGGATAAGTGATCCCTGTGACTAATGGTCTTAAAATCTTTGTCTCAGTTTAAGTGTCAGTGTCATCCTTGCAATGAGGATGTTAAATGTACATAGCAGTCACTGAACACTTCTTACACCAGATCCTGCGTAGCAGAAGTTGGGAAGAGCCTGTGGTTTAGTAGTATGTATTAAACTAGCCAGCTATTTTAGTGCTATCAGTAGTTTCTTATGCCATTACCCTAAGTTTTGAACTATAGCTGACATATATGTTGACAACTGAATCTACCTACTGTCACTGATTTATGTTTTTTAAATTGATTTTTATTGTCTTAGTGCTCCTCTGATTCTGGAGCCAAGTGGAGTTTAAACCATTCCCTTGAAAAATTTAGTGTAGAAGGCGATGCCTGAAGTTTTGCCAAGTCTGCAGCACCCCAGGAGTTCAGCAGGCTGGCTGGCTGTAGCAAGGGACTGAAGTGGTGCTTGGGGAGGGTACCAATCCACTGCCTTTTCCTGATCTGGAGGTCAATCACATCAACTTCACAACATAGCCCAAGATTTTTTGTGTGTCTTAGGATGATAAGCAGGCAGTCTGTGAGCTCTAGAACGTGCCCATAGGCATTAACTAGTATTGGTGGTATATAGGCAGTGATTTGTCATTTAAAGGTGTTAAGACTAGGACCTACAAACATTCACTGTCAGTGATATTTTCACTGATTAACTGTCCTCTGCAGCGTGTGCTTGTTTAGCCAGCTGTTCCAAGATTTGGATGAGGGCTAAGTTAGGCTTTTCACTCACAAACCCTGGGAAATTGTATTGCAGTAATTTACAAGATTTCTGTCCTCAGCTTTCTGCTGCTTCACTTCACAATTGCTGTCTGAGTCATTCTTCCAGCAGCAGAGGTTGCAGAACAGCCTGTACCTGCTCGTTAGCCATCACAGCTCCCAGCCCAGGGCGTTAACATAAGCAGAAATCAGTGGCAGATGAAGTCTCGAGTCCTGAGCTACTGGGGATGAGAAATGAAAATCCTGCATCTTCATTTATCTAGTGGGACTAGCTGTCATCTGAGAAGTGGGGAGCAGAGCCTGTGGAAATAACCTCTTCTGTTGCCCCCAGGTAAATGGTCCTTTGTGCTCCCTACACCCTGGGCAGTATTACCCAAGCTGTTTGCCAAGAGAACATATTTCTCCAAAGGCATTGGGTGGCAAAGGAACAGTTTGCCTTTGAATGTAGGATTAGGTAGGATTAGTCCCTTCTTGGACTGGGGCGCTATCTTACAAACAGAAGGTGGGTAAGTAGTTGGTTGTTGAAAGTGAATGGTTAGTTTCTCCTGAAATGCTGTTAATCATTGTTGAGTTCTTGGCCAGTTCAGGCTGTGGACAGCAGGTCTCCAAGAGCTGCAGGTATTAAATTACCATCGATGATTTGTAGTTTGATGCCCTGGCTTTAGACAGACGTAAGTTGTTACCCTAAGTTAGTGGATAGTTGAATATCCTCAGCCACGAGCAGTACATAATAATCTGCACGGGTCATTGGAAAATAATTACATCTGTTAATGAATACTAAGGTTAATTAATTACCAATTAATTGCCACAGGTTATAGATAGCTAGTTGCCCATAGCAGCAGTGAATCAGTTACCAGGGGGAGGGAGATACATTACAGAGTGGGTTGTGAGCTACTTTGGCTATAGGCACCTGATGTTTTTTATATGAAAAAAAACCTTGATGGCAGCAAAGGAATAGCAAAACCAGTTGTGTAAAGGTCTTCCACTACAAGTATGCTGTTCAAACATGTGGGCACCGTTACTGAATTCTAGACTTACCAGGAACCATTCCTGCCAGAGTTGAGGTTGGGTAGCTGCCTTGTCCAGTTGGGGGAACATGGGGTGGGTAGCCAGGCAAGGTAGTGCTTGCCATATCACGACCTGAAAAGGGAAAGAATCAGGACAGGGCATCAGTAGGGATAAGGTCCTTCAGTACTGATTCAATGTCACCTTTTGTCCCACCATCACTCACTAGCAGCTTGATGGGCAAATGCTGTGCGTCTTGCCCTTACTTGTGTGCTGACCTTCTACTGAACATTTTGGGGGAAGATTGTGGCACTTCTGATCTCAGGCTATAGGGATGGATCTTAAAACTTAGCACTGTGAGGCTCAAAAGAATTGCTTTCACGGTAGATTTTTGAGCCTGTTAGAAATTTTGGATCTATTTTCACTGAACAAAAATTGCCCTAAGCTGCACAGAGAATGGCAGCACATTCATTGCCAGCGTAGCTGAGGTCCTTTCTATAAGCAGTTCCAAAACTGTGGTGATGTTGCTTTAGGGCATGACCGATGGTTAAGGCACTGGAAAGTGATCTAGGAGTTCTCTCTGCCTGTCTCTGGTCCCACCTCTGCTGTTTACCTGCTGATGCTAAAACCATCAGCAAGTCACTTCACCTCTCTGCGCTTCTTCTTATGCTGCAAACTCTTTGGTGCAAGGGCACGCTCCCAGTACATTTTCACAGTGCTTAGCATTAGATCAATACTTGCTGGGCTCTTTCCAGGTGCTGGTGTAATATATAATAATAGGATCATGTGAATTAATTTGAGTCCTACTTCATTTTTATCACAGATACAAGTGTTTGTTAGTAATACTCCAACTCTTGGTATCTTTTATCCACCAAAGAAGTAGAGAAGGGTGTAGATTGGGTGGATGAGTGTAGTTGATTTTTCATCTCTTAGGAAGTGCAGCTGGAGGCTTCTTGGTTGGTGCCAGAGGCATTTCCTCATTTGGACTGGTTAGCCTGAAAATGGGCCAGCCAGAAGGGCATTTTGCTGTTAGTGCTTATTGCATTTAAATGAACTGAAATCATTTCAGAAGCTGCTGGGAGTTTCAAGCCAAAACCAAAAAAAAAAAAAAAAAAAAAAAAAAAAAGCTAAATAAATTAAGATAATCTTTCCCCCACAGCTGCTGGGAGATTTACAGCTCAACCTCCAACGTTGCTTACTGAGATCTCTGCTCTTTCAAGCCTTTCACATTCCCTAGGTGAGGTGTAGCTCACCAAGAAGTTTGTGCCCTTGTCGCTCCTTTCTTAAATTTTGACTAACATGTCTGTTCTGGGAGGACTGCAGTCTGATTCACCTTTAGAAGTGACAGTTTATGAATGGCCCATTGATGCCACTGGAACTGGGCTGGGATATGGGAATGAAAGAACAAGAACTGCCTTAGCTCTACTCATGGCAGAATGGAAACTGATAAAGCAGGCCCGGAAACAAGTATGGACCTTGGCAGAGGAGTCAGAAATAAATAACAGTTGAACAGCAGAGTAAAAACTGAATCAACACGGAGAATTACCCCTAGGGGAGGAAGTTTCTCCAGAATAAGGTGGGCTAAACCAAGGCTGTTGCTTTTGTAGATCTTGCCTAAAGATTACTGAGGTAAGAAAAGAAAAAAGAAATGTAAGTTCTTTCCCTCTCCCTGAAGAGGTTCCTGAGCCATGGATGACATTCCTAGCTCACTTTGCACTTAGATAATGGAACTACAGTGACTAAACCATTTTCCAGCCACTCCCCAGTATTGATAAAAATAAATATATAATGCCTCAGGGATTTATGTTCTATACTCTTCCACTCTTTTATCACCACCATTGCTTTAGTGATTTGTAGTTGCACATTAAGCAGTATGACTAACACCTACTAGATGTAGTTGTTTTTGTTTTGTTTTGTTTTGTTTTTTTCTCACATTCTTTTAAGGGAAAAAAGTTCTGTGCTTCAAATTCATGTTTTTTTGGTTTTCTGTATTGACTAGTCTGAGATGTAACATCAGGTGATGAATGAGAAAACAGTGTCACTAAAAAGTTAGAGAGAACATTATGTAGTAGCGGGCAAAATTAATTCATTTTGACACTTCCATTCAAGTGGGAACACATACACACTCACTCTGCTACCTGATCTATGCACATATAACCCTGTGTTTTTATTCAGGTGTGAGCACGCAGAGGCTGATACTCAAAACTCGGTGTGCAAAATGTGTTGCGAAGTGATCATCTGTCAAAATCCCAATCTTGAAAAAGAAGATAACAAATATAGTATCACTAACATGAATAAGAGTCCTGTAGAGAGACTCTTAAAATGCTGCTACGTAGAAGCAGTCCCCTTCCATTACCTCCTCTCATTACCACCAGGTGAACAGGGTTATTACATTCTTGTACTCCAGGGCTATGACAACGCTAGTGTCTGACGTGCTTATAACATGCTTCCAATACCAGCTATCCTCCTTTCTCCCAAAGCCTGCTGAGTGAGAACCACACCTTCATCACTCTGACTTTCTTTGAGCTTTTGAACATTTTCTCCCAAGTCCATTTCTCCATAAATGTCCTAAGGCAAGTGCATCTCCTGAAACAACGCCTTGTAGCTTAGGGGGTGGCCATGTAAGTCTGCATCGCCACTGGAGTATATTGTTGGAGAGAGTCTGTCAGGATAAGCCTTGGCTTAGGAAATGCCCAGAGCTCCTACTGGCTGCAGTAAGACTTGGACAGTGTTATGAACACAAAAGTCTTCTCTGCAGTTGCTTGCTGCTTTCCTCCAGGGAGGTTTAGAAATGCAAATGTCACCAAGACAAAGGGAGGACGTTAGCTCAAAAGAGAAAAATAATATAGGAATATGAAGGAGGCAGAGATAAAATATGTTTCTTGAGCATTAGGAACCATGTTCCGCACTCTGAAGAACTTGCCTGTTGAAAAAGCCCAAATTACATTCTTTGGCGGTGGAGTGACACCTAAAAAGATTGACACTATTTCACCCAAGCCATCCCTGAGCTTCTGCAGCAGTGATGCCTCAGTCCTCTTGCATGGGTGTTTCACCTCATACCTACTACCTTAAACTCCACTTTCTTCCCCCTGCCCCCTCCAACCTGTGGCTCCTAAGCGCTGCCATCTTCTGTGACCTGCCTTTGTCCTTCCCTTGAAGGCTGCCACCACAGATCTGATTTCACATGGCTGTAAGACTTCGTAGCCTCTGACCCTGTTTCCTGACTGCCTGGCCTGCCACGTGAAGGCACCAGCTCACGCTGACGCTTGCCAACCAGCTGACTGGAGTCCTGCTCGCAGTGTGGCTGTGGCACTGCTCACCCGCTGGCTGTGTATGGGTCTGACTCAGTAGTTTTTGCAACCCATGCTGACAACCCTGCTGACAGTCCTAGAGCTGGCAGACACGTTCAAGCTGCAGTCATCAACCTAGGCTAGCACACAGTACCCTCGCTGGGCCCCCCGTACAAAGGGGCCTCGTGGTTAGTGAGGCAACACAGGATTTTGCTGTACAAGTGTTTCCCTACTAAGCCCCAAACCCATCCAGCTGGGACACCAGTCACTTCTGTGTAGTTACAGCTTCTTTTCCCATTTTATTCTGCAAAAATGAAGGACAGGCATGAAATCTGTTACTGACTCTCCGTGGAGCTGCGAACACATGCTGCATACACAGAACTGGAACATCGTTGCTCTGGTTCCCACTTGCACTCAAAGAGCTTGCAGCATTTCCTGGTCTCCCCGTCAGACGAACCTGAACCCCTTGCCTGCAGCATCCCCGCTGAGTTTGTGGCCAAGGCCGGTTACCTGCTATCAGAGGCTGGCTGCTGGACTGCCCAAAGTGGGCACCATGATGAAGGAAGGCACTGTAGCAAGGCGTGGACGCATCGTCTGAAAGGGTCATGTGGAAGGGCTGAAGATCAGCCTGCCCAGAGCCGACCGGCGTGGTGGGGGTGAAAGGGGTGAGAGAGGCTCCATGAGGCTCTTGCTTTATACTGAGGGGAGAGGAGAGGTTTTCTGTGGTAGGGTAAGGGATGGACACAGACAGACAAAGGGAACAGGGGGAGGAAGAGGAGGGTGGGGAAGGGAGGAGAGGAAGAACAAAATGGGTAAATGAAAATGGAGTGGTTAAAATCTACAGGGAAATTAATTTAAAAACAAAAATAAAAATAAAAAGGTTAGGAGTAGATCAGAGGAGCCAGTGCTGAGACAACAGCAGTAAATGCACCCGGGGGCTAGGCTCTGGCTGCAGTGATGCCTCTGCAGGGCAGCAGGATAGAGGAAATGGAGTGCGGTGGCGGATGGGAGGGATGGGATGCGGGAGAAGGAGAAGTGTGGGAGGGGACATGCAGGAGGGGAGGACAGGAAGAAGCATAGGGTTGGGAAGAAGAATGCTCTGAAGCTTCGGTGCTCCCTTTCCTGCTGCGTTCTCTTGCTGTCTGAGGGCGTACAAGGATGCTACACTCACGCAGGTTGGCCCAGGGAATTACACCCCTTTGTCTCTCAGACCCAAGGTAACTTCCCCAGGAGAGCAGCATGGTTATGAGCATCTGTTAAACGCAATGATCAAGGTAAAGGCCAAAGGTTGTCAAACCAAGCTCCGTAAAAGCTTTGACAAAAAAGATGCAGCTGAACTTTGAGGTGGTTAAAATGAAAAATGGGACTGTGCCATTAATAGGCAAATAGATAGATTGATCAATTGATCTTTTTTATAGTGCGTGCTTTGTGGCTTTGACCATAAAAGCACTGAGTACTGACTCTGGTAGTTCCCAAAGTACAGTGTTGCCAGACAGATACCTTGACGGAGAGATACCATGGAAGAGAGGAAACGTTGGGGACTTATAATAGGTTTCATTTGCGCTGCTGTTTGCATTGGGCCACTAATCTGATGTGCAGATTTGCACAGTCACAAGAAATACAGCTTTGAAGCTGCTCCTAACTGGGCTCCCAGGTAGGAGGTCTGGGAATTGTAGAACTCTAAAGCATGGGTACTCCAGTACACCCAGACTTGGTGGGTTAGCAGTAACAGAGTCCTGTATTTGAATACCTGAAAGAGAAGTATGGACGATGTGATCAGATCCTATCCAAATCATCTCGCAAACCAACCACCCTCAGGTAAATAAATTAGAGCCAACAAATGAAAGCCATCTCTCTGCCGCAATGGCAAGTGTTGCCAATGTCATATGAGATAAGTTAGTTGTGGTGGGTTTGATTTATACAGAGATATATAAATGTGACATATAATTGGGTCATAAATCTGGCTTCATTAATATAGAACTGGCTTTAATTAACTCTAGGCACCTTATTGTGAGGCTGCAATGCTCACCTAGACTATAAAGGGCTGGGCAGTTTCTATCTGTGAATGCTGTTTATCCTGAGGCGTTTGTTTCCTAAAGGTTTGTTACCTGGCAAAAATGATAGTTTGCCATCTGTGTTCTCCTCCAAGTACCTCTCACCCGGCTGGCCAGCAAAGGTCTCTGAGCACCGAGACTCCTTTGCAGCAAAGACATATGTTTGTGGGCCAGCTGATTGGGAAAGATCCCTTCTGGCCAAAAGGTGTGCAGTTCCTCCTCATTCAGACTGTGTATGGGAAGCCTCTGGTATGCTCAGCCAGGATGGGCCTTTCTTCACCCTTTTTGCTATAGGAAGCTCTTCTGGGCAAGGACTTTTCTGGAGGTGTGGTAAATAGGATCTGGGGTGTGTGGTGATTGTTGTGCAGCTAATCAGAGTCACTGGGGTAAGCAGCACCTCCGAGCTGTGCAGGAGAGGGCAGGTGTGGGGAGCCGCTAGGGCAGGAGGGGCAGGAGAAGGTGGATGCAGAGATGTGGGTGGGCAGAAGCCAGAGGTGCTGTGGGCAGAGGTTAATCCTGTTTGCACAGCCCCCGGGCACGATGGGTTTCCTAGTCCCTCCCCTGCTTTATTTCTCTTTTAAAGCACGGAATTTTCAGCTATAATCCTTCCTAAACCGCAGCATTTTTCAGGCGCTCTGTGTAAGTGAAACCATAATCTCTGGTAAAACAGGCTGCTTAAGCTGCTGTAGCATTAGGCCAATCTGATCCAGCCCCTGGATTTCCGCTCTGCCCAGCCACCACGGAGAGGATTTCAGCCTGAAAGACTGCCTAAAGCCCTCGCAATGGGAACAACAGTGCCAGGCCTTGCCTTGCAAAGCTGCACAGGGTTAAGGGACCAGAAGCTATTTGTCCCGGTGTTCTGAGGCTGTTAAAGCTCCTGTCAGACTCACAGCAGAGATGAGCCCAGCCCTCTCTTGAACACATCAAAGCTTATGAAGAAAAATTCCTCACACCTTGCAGAGGCAGCACCACTTACTCAGCGCAGGGGGATAAAGAAGTCAGGAGTAAGATGGCAAAGAGGCTGGGACACAATGCCGCTAAGCACGGCTCTCTCTAAGAACAGCGGAGGAGAGGAGAGGATAAGGTCAGACAGCAAATGATTGCTCAAACCAAACTCAGCCCTCAGTGTGTCTATTTACCTGTCCTTCCGTCTCCGCTCAGCAGCTGCACAGGCGCAGCTGATATCCCGTGCGTCCTTACTGGCGGGTGGCAGTTATGAATCTTTACCCTTTTCTTGTGCAGCTCTCCTCTGACTGAAAGCACCTGAATTCTGTCTCCAGTATAACTCCCACCACTGCCACGCTGGAATAATTGCCCCAGCAGTGAATTATAGCTCTGAAGTGTGTCAGTATGGACGAGATCAATTGATTGATCTATCTATCCACCTGTGAGTGGCACAGTCCCATTTTTCATTTTAACCACCTCAAACTTCAGCTGCACCTCCTTTCTTTTCACTTCTGATTTCCTCCGGTCTCCGATTCTTTTGTATTTGGGATGGAGAACAGGGAAAGGAGTGCCATGCTCAGCCCGTCCTGCTCCAAGTCCTGCCAGTGCCAGCAAGCCATGCTCTGCTGGCTCCTCGGAGCCTCATGGGGGTCCCTCGGTGAGGTGGCACCAGGGAGCCCCAAGGTATCTGTCAGTGTCTTACTGGTACGGAAATCGACCCGTAATTGAGTGGGGGGTGGAATGAGTTTGCAGCCCCTCTCCAAAGAGGCAGAAAGCTGTTCTCCCAAGCTCCTTTCTGCTAAATGGCACCTACTATCCTTGTTTATGAGCAACAAAAAAATACCAGCCCATGTCATGGTGGGGGAAATTTGAAAGGGTGAGCAGGGTGGGGATACAGCTGGGAACGTAGCAGAGGACTACACATTTTCTGCATTTCCAGCTCCTTTCTTTCTTAGTGTACTTGCTGAGTTATGGCTGTTTTTCTACCTTTCTAACCCTCTCCTCTGTTATCCTGGCGGAGAGCTAGAACTGGTGATCTCTGGCCTAAATTCCCCCTGCGAATGAAGGGATTTTGGCCAGACAGGGGGAGAGGAAGATTCACAGCTGTGGGTTCCTACAGAGACTCATCTCAGCTTTTATCGTGCTCTCTGCTGCTGAAGGGAAGGAAGCAGGGGGGTTTGCAGGACTAGATAAGCAGCTTGTTTTTCATCACTGGTTTTCTGGAGGATAAGCTAGTTGCCTCCAGTGCTCCTTTTCTTTTCAGTGAGGGCAGAATCTCAAGATGGCACATCCCTGCATAAGGGATGGCTTGTGCGCACCCACTTGACAACACTGCTCACAATCTTGACAGTGTTTAGTATCCTTCACCTTTTCCTGGTGTCTCTATAAAATATTTATATGATCCCAAAGGCTCAGACTCCTCAGAGCACACATCCTCACAGCATCCCCTAGGGATCACTGTTCTACCTGTGAGGAGCTGAGCACAGAGAAAATGTACCCAAGCTCATGCAGGAAGCCTGTGTCAAAGCCGAATCGTATCTCAGGTGGTTTTGCACCTATGTTTGTACCCACTACTGAGATATCTTTTCCTCATTTACATTCCTCCTGTATTAATAACATCATTCCTTAGAAAGGTTTCATTGTGGCAAGCAGAAGGGGATGGGGTCCTCAGCATTCACAAACTGGTGAATTTAGGCCACAGCCTGTGGACTCACATCACTTCATCCCATGTGAGAATCTTGCCTTAGAACTTCTCAAAGTCCTGCAGAAGACCAAACTGGACTGACACAGCCTGTCTTTGACTTTTGCCTTCTGCCATGTCAGAACCACTTTTTTTTTGTTTTGTTTTGTCTTTTCTTAGCTTTTTAGCTCTTCTTTTGCAAGAGCATTATGCAAGTGGCACTGATGATAAAAATCATCCTATTTTTTGTTCCTTCTCTGTGTTAGTAACAGACCTTTGCTAGGACAACAGAAAAGTGTATAAAACCTAATTTACTTCTCATTGTACCTTTCTTGCATTCTCTTTGTATTCCTGCTGACTGGGGAATGAGCCTTGCATGTTCAGGTTTATTTTCTGTTTCTGCACAGATCCATCCATGTTTCTAGCCCAACACTTAACTTGTGTGTTATTGAAATACACACTGAAAGAAAAAACAACAAAAAAATCTTGCTCTCCAAGAGAGTCAAAACTGTTGACATCATTGATGTCAAGTTTTTAAATCCATTTGCTCCATTTTTTATGAAACTGACTTTTATAAACCTAGATTTTATATCTGTTCTAATTATTTGCTGCTTTCCAAGTAATCTGAGCTACTCACTCTGTATTTTACTTGGGAGAGAAACTGAGGTTTCATAGTCCTCACACCCAGTTAAACATGGAGCACCCAGCAGACCTGTGATTGGGATCTTTGAAGCCAGCTGCATACTGTTAGTCACTTGGGAACTCCACTAGGGTCAGCTGCATTTGGCTCTAAGTAGATTTGTTTGCAGGTGGAGGTGAGGAAAACAGGCTTCAAAGTCTGTGGGAAATAACGTTGTGCCTGTACATTTGGTAAACAGATAGGCTCAGCGGATTTATGCTTTGTCCCCTTTCTTGTATCCCAGCCCATCAGCATGTTGCAGTTACAGATTGCTCCCTGCCTTAAAGTCAAGCACACGCTTATATTCCTTGGTGGGCTGGGACTTGAATGTTATGTGTTAAACAAAACGCTTTTGAAATAT